GTTTGAAGTTTAAAATATAAATATTGCTGCCCGTCATTGAAATTTTTGTTTTAAGTCACATTGACTTGAAGAAGTGGGATTTGTGGGATGTGGTACTGCATGTGCTCAACAACCACGACGACAAAGCACCTCGTGACGTCATTGACAAGTCAATCTGGTTCCTTTTCATGCAGTTAAACTGGGATTTGGTCAGACTTGTTCGAGACCAAGAACCAAACAAGACGGTAATATTCACTGTATATCTTCTATCGAAATGTTTTCATTTCAATGTCACGTTACAGGAAGCGGTGAAGAAATTGAAAAAGCGTCGTGATCAATTTTTGCACGATGTCAATATAATTCTTAGTGAAGGTGCCTCTGGAGTTGAACTGGTAAACTGAAGTCTTAACTAAATGATGACCTTGCAAGATATGTGTATGCAAGCAAGCACTGTTTCAGGCGTTCCAGTGTCTAAATGATTCTCTCATTATGTTCAATGAAGAGCTGAAATCACATGGAGCCCACCTTGAACCGCTTATTGTGCGGCTAGACAACGTGGGTTCTGAAATGAAATTGCTTCCAAATATTTAGCGAATGGCTTTGTTCATAAATTGTTTATGAGTTGATAAAAGTAGCAGACTCATTTATAATCAGCGTACTCGCTACAATCTCTCCTAGCTCCTACTAGCTCTAGTTACCGAAAAATACAAAAATTTCTATAAAATTGAATACGCTACGATTTTCCCTCCTAGGACTTCATACAAAAGATGCAGTCGTTTGTGAATGATAATGTCTTTACTCCTCCATCAGAAGATACGCAACTTGATCAACAACAGCAAGTCGAACTCATGCACATGGTAGGTCAGCTTGATATCAATCTCATTGACTCTACCTCTACTTACTTTAACTCATTTCAGAAGCGAAGCTTGCTAGCGCAGTATTGCAAAATGGTTCTTCATGGTGTATTCCCAATTAGAGATGCTTCGTTCGTCCTCAGATACTACTGCGAGGTCCTTATATTCAAAACCTACCACCTTACGTCTTCGTTCCTTATCTCTCCATTTTCAGTTCTACACTGACTTTGGTGACATCCTGAAACAGCTGTTGTACAAGTGCCGCGATCTTAACTTTGTCGCTTGTGCCAAAGCCGTCACCAGGTCCCTCACGGATGTTTATGAAAGCATCAGAGTACGTTTTAGCTTATGATCTCTGAATCCACAGCCGAATAACTATTACGCTGAGTCTCTGCTGTAGATGAACACCGGGCTCGAATTTGTTGATCCACTGTCGGATGCCTTCCATCAATTACGTGATTTGGCGAAGAGATTTGCTGTAGCGTTTGGAAACGATCACATCAAGAATCGCGAAGCCGTGGCTGTGGTACACAGGTTTGCGTTCGAATGATTCCGCTAGTCCATGTTCGAAATCCTTTCTTTATTGCTCGTTCTTGATTTTTTGAAAGATAATGTCCAAGTTCTTAAAAATTGGCAAACATGTCTTCCATTGAAACATATCTTCTCTTTTC